TCTGCTCTGCTGCTGATCTCATTTCGTTTTGTCGTGTGTGTGATTACCGTTCTGCACCCATTTTCTCGCATGTGTGCCGATTTTGTTAGTTTTGGATTTGCTTTTCAAGCGATGCGATCGCTCACCCGATCTGTATCAGGTGGGCCAAGTGCCACGCGACACCCTCGGCTCGAATAGAGCACCCGATCTGTATCAGGTGGGCCAAGTGCCACGCGACACCCTCGGCCCGAGTAGAGCACCCGATCTGTATCAGGTGGGCCAAGTGTCAAGCAGCTGAGCTGGCAGCAGGCAGAAGCTGTTGCTTGGCGTGGCATGTAAGCATCAGACAGTGCCACGCGAAACTTTCATTACGAATCAGGAACGTCGCAATTCACACCAGTGCATGTTGCATATGTTTTTACAGCGAATCAGCATCAAAGTCGCCTATTCTTTACAGTACATAAGCGATAACTTACATGTGACGAGATTTTGTCTTCAGAAATCTCGTAATCACGCAACCATTTCCTTAGCGTAACTGGAAGGTATTCGCGACGAACGAGTGTATTTCGATGTCCCAGCTGTCGAAGTGAGTGTTGCTCACGTCTTGGCACTCCACTGCCATCTCGGAAGTGGGCATATCGGAAGGAAACTTCCAGGAAACTTCTCTCCGATAAGCGCACAGAGTGTATCTCTGATACAAGTCTGAGGCTCAGCCTACCCTAGTAAAATTAGGCTGAAATTTCAGACAACTCATAAGAAAAAACTCTGGAAAATCAGACAAGGTACATAAATAAATTCTTTGAGTTCAGACTAGGTACAAAAAAAAAGTCTGAACGGACTCTGATTCAGACTCCAAAGTCTGATATCTAGGGCACTGGTTTCAGCTCTTTCAATGGAGGCCACTGACATGCGAAGATTCACTGCAGAGGTGTGCATACCTTGCCTCACATTGCATCGTTTTCCACTTTGGTGCAATCCTCACTTGTTCACTCCATTGCACATATATTTCGAGCGGTACCAAGCTTTCCGGTACATCCTCTAGTGATTACCGTGCATCTGTTTGGATACCCCCAAGTTTATCTCTACCAGTAATTAGTGGCAGTGAACAGCTGTAAGTCCACACCACAGATCTACCTAGCGTCCCGCATGCATGCATTTTCAGCGCGAAGGCCTTCCATGAGCAGCAGGCAATGGTGGAGAGTCACTGCTTGCCGTCAGCATCAGCCTGGTCCTTGCCCCTGGCGTGGCGCAGGCGCTCCTTCTCCTCCTCCACCTGCGCCAGCATCGCCTCCAGCTCCGCCTCTGGCATCGCCTCCAGCCGCTTCTGCTCGCCCGCACCCACCGCCATCGTGGTGGGTGGTTGGTAAGGGGGAAACAGATAGGAGATTGGAATGAGTGAAAGGATGGGTAACAGTAACGGATGACCAAATCGGTCATTGATAAGGGTGAATCAATCAGGTTGGCTAGTATGGGTGATGAGATGGGTGATGGGAATGGGTGATGGGAATGGTTGATGTGAATGGGTGATGGGAATGGGTGATGGGAATGGGTAACGGGAATGGGTGATGGGAATGGGTGATGGGAATGGGTGATGGGAATGGGTGATGGGATGGGTGTGCAGCGGCATGCAGAGGAGCGGTGGAATGACGGACCTTCATAACAGCGTCCTCGTAGTCCTTGAGCTGCTTCACATACGTCATCTCTTTGTTGCCCACTCGCCACACATAGCTGGCCGCCCACACCAAGCACAGCCCCAGCACCAGCACCAGCTGCACCACGCTGCCCGACTGGAACGAGTCAAACCCCGCCAACTGACCACGAGAGGGGGGTGGGCGGAGGGGAGATGGGGATTGCTTAGGTGCTGCGACTCCCAACACCACGTCCCCAGGGCGTAACAAACGAATGTGAGAAAGATAAAAAAAATGAAAGAAACAAGAAAGAAGATAGAAAGAAAGAAAAAACGTAGACACCAAAGTCCGAAGGAACTTGGCAGTGTACCATACTCACCCTGTCGTTTCTACCTGTGTCACCTCCAACCGTTCTTACCTCCAGCCGTTCTCACCTCCAGCCGTTCTCACCTCGAGCCCGTACTTGATTCTCACCTCGAGCCCGTACTTAATTCTCACCTCGAGGCCGTACTTGATTCTCACCTCAAGGCCGTACTTGATTCTCACCTCGAGGCCGTACTTGATTCTCACCTCGAGGCCGTACTTGATTCTCACCTCGAGGCCGTACTTGAGGGCGACACCAGCGACGGTGATGCCGACGCCGATTAGAATCACGTCCAGCCGCGTGTAGCCGAAGGGCGGCTGGGGGATGCCCCGCCATCGCCATGCCATGCACACACGGAAGAGGGAGGGCGGGTGGGATGGCATGCAGGGGAGTGGAGGATGTGCGGATGGTGCCCCATGGTGATGGTGGTTCACGACTGATCATGTGCATCACCAATGGGATTTGATAATGGTGCATTGATGATGGCACATTGATGATGGCACATTGAAGGGAGCGGATGGATGAAGCGATGGAAGCAAACTGAATTTCAACACTCTCTCCTTCCTCCTTTCAATGTCGCCCTCCCTCCTTTCCGCAGATCCTTCTCATGATGACTGCCTCTGTGGGCACACTGACTGCCTCTGTGGGCACACTGACTGCCTCTGTGGGCACACTGACTGCCTCTGTGGGCACACTGACTGCCTCTGTGGGCACACTGACGCACATTGGATGTCCGCCCGAGTTGACCCTGCCTGGGAGTTAACTTCTAGCCTTGCCTTCAAGAAACTATCAAGACACTTGCCTCATATGACCTCAACAATCCCACCTCCGATTCCTCTCCAACAGTAGAAACCTATCCCTGCCTCTCTCCCTCTTTCCCTCCCTCCCTCTTTCCCTCCCTCCCTCCCTCCCTCCCTCCCTCCCTCCCTCCCTCCCTCCCTCCCTCCCTCCCTCCCTCCCTCCCTCCCTCTCTCCCTCCCTTCTCCCCCGCGTCTCACCCTCCCCTCTGGCTTCTCTGGTTGCGCCTCTGCCCGCACGCCATTCACCCTATTCCCCGCCGCCCCCAGCCCCACTCTTCCCTGCTCTCCGATGTGCGCCCGGCGGGGGAGAAGCGGAGGTGCGCGTTGGGAAAAAAGAGGCGGACGCGGAAGGAATGCGGAGCGTAGAGGCGCGGAGGCGGGAGAAGCGACGCCTGCTGGAGGCGGAGGGGAGAGACGGGGTAGAGGGGAAATAGCAACCTAAGATAGAGGGAAAAGGCAAGATGAAAGACCATGTCTGGCGGAAGGCTCGGAGCGAACGCGCGCAGGATAGGAGGTGCGCGCCGCGTGGTCGAGCGAGGTGCGACGCGAGGCAACGTCGAAAGCGACGCACGGCGGACAGGTGCTCGAAGCGGACAGGTGCTCGAAGTAGACAGGTGCTCGAAGCAGACAGGTGCTCGAAGCAGACAGGTGCTCGAAGCGGACAGGTGCTCGAAGCGGATGGAATGACGACGAAAATGAAGGAGTGCTCGGAGCGCGGGGGAAGGCGAGCGGTGGCGCGAGGTGGCTGACCTCTGGCGCTGATGGAGTAGGGAAGCAGAGAAGAGGCGGCGCCGATGACGAGAGCTGCAGCCATGGCGGCAAGACAAGTGTTGAAAGTGGAGATGGTGCTAAGGAGCGTTTGCTAGGTTATGAAGGTGGCGCTAGGGCAAGAAAAGTCGGTAGCTAGGCACGCTTTAGCGCGTACGCCTGGAAACACGGTGCTTGTTAGGGAAAATATGCCACTCATCAAGGGTCTCGATAATATGTTTGGTAAAAAAATAACGGGTACGGTCACTGCAAAGGGTGTTTTCACGTGTTTGATAAAACGTTTCACGGAATCAGGGCGCATTCGTAGCCCGTGTCAGACATGAGGTCGGACCCGAAGTGGAGGCTCGGAAGACCCGAAGTGGCTCGTTCGTGAGGCAAATCCGAGTTCGGATGAGCCAAATTGGAGACTAAGGGCTTTTGACCTGAAGTCTGACACGGGCCACGAATGCACCCTCAGTCACAATCAACTGGGAAAAAATAACGCGAATGGTCACAAAAAAAGATAAAACCCAAAACAAACCTGGATGCAGTTTCGGATAATCAACCCTAAACACAACTCGCCATGTCTTTAGGGTTTATTAGTGAATCTGTAATCCCACTTACCAAACCCGTCAGCAAACTGGATACAGTGACCGTACGCGTTACTTCTTTACAATTCACGATATCGAGTCCCGTGTTGATTACTTGTGACATATTTTTCATGCTTGTCAGGGCGCGCGTGATCTTTGAAAACTGTATAAATTTACATTTTTGAATCGCATATAGCTTTCGAACTTATCTGTTATTAACGTGTGAATCGTAAATTCGTGATTTAGCGTGTGAATTGTAAGAATCAGAGCCCTAGATATCAGACTTTTTATGCTGATTCAGCGTCCATTCAGACTTTTTTTTGGTACCTGGTCTGAACTATAGGCATTTTTTTATGTACCTTCTCTGATTTTTCAGAGTTTTTTTTATTGTAACCACTGAAATTTCAGCCAATTTTTAGGGGTGCAGGCCGAGCCTCAGACTTCTGTCGGGGGTGCACTCAATGAGCTTTTCGAAAAGAAGTTTCCTGGAAGTTTCGTTTCGATATTCCCACTTCCGAGATGGCAGTGGAGTGCCAGGACGTGAGCAACGCACGCTTCAATAGCTTGTTGATAATAGAACGAGAATGGAGTGAGTACAAATAGGAAACCCTAACTGGGTTGTACCCCCTATGGGATACCCCACTACAGCCTACACAATAGTATAAGCTATATATATATGTTCTGACACACCCCTATAGGCAAAGTGGGGGAGAACAAGGGGTCACAAGACCAGTCAAGCAAAGCAACGCAAAGCTCAGGGTGGATCACAAAGTCACCACACAGTCCGAGCACAAGAGCAAAGCCAAAGGCCAGTTCACATGCAAGAGTACAGACATATATATAAAGCTAGACAAGCAAGAGCAGGTATATATATGTCACAGTACAAGTAAAGTCAAGAGGAGAGCAAGTGAGGCAAGACAGGCACAAGACCCAGCTGGGTGCAGAAGCGCTGATGGTCACAAGGCGCGAGTGCCTTGGTGAACACATCACCAGTGTTGGCCTCAGAGGCCACATACGCAAGCCGCAACTGTCTACGCTGCTGTAGCTCACGAGCAAGGAAGTAGCGAAGAGCAATGTGCTTCGTTCTGTGCTCCAGACGCTGCTCTCGACACAAGGCTAGCATGGCCTTGTTGTCTACGTACAGCACTGGAGGAGAACGAGGCAGCTCTCCAAGGTCAGTTAGCAGGTAGGTGAGCCAGCGAAGCTCCTGTGCAGCCATGGCCCCTGCGTAGATCTCAGCCTCACAATTGGAGCTGAGAACTGAAGACGAACGAGTAGCCCGCCACGAGACAGAGCCGGAACCAAGGCTGAAGGTGTAACCCTGTGACGACCGCTGCGTAGCCTGGTTGTCAGCCCAAGAAGCGTCCGCGTGACCTGTAAGGACCACTGGACTCCGCCCTCCAAACACTAGCCCCATGCCCGACGTACTGCACACGTAGCGCAACACCCTCTTCGCTGCAGCCATGTGCTCTGGTCGGTGTCTCCCAGGAGCAACATAGCGTGCAAGAATGCTCAGAGGGTATGCAAGGTCAGGTCGTGTGCAGGTCATCAGGTACATGAGGCAGCCAACAAGCTCTGGGTACGGGCCACTCGACTCTACAGACTCATCCGAAGGCAGAGCTGAGAGCGAGTGGCGGGTAGACAGAGGAGTGGCCTGAGGCGAGGAGTACGTGAAGCCGAAGCGCTGAAGGACCTGCTGCACCATGTGTGACTGAGTCAAGGTAATGGTGCTGCGTGCTCTGTCCCGAGTGATCTACAAGCCAAGGTAGCTGCGCAGTTCACCCAGGTCTGTGCACGTGTGTCTCTTCAGCAGCTCGGACTTCACGTAGGCGAGTCCAGCAGTGTCAGCTGTGGCAAAGACCAAGTCGTCGACGTACACGAGGATGTAGAATGGCGGCAGTGAAGTGTCCGTGCGCAGAAATAGCGACGGGTCAGCAGTAGAAGGAGCAAACCCAAGAGCCGCAAGCGTAGTCCTCAGTGTGTCGTGCCACTCACGCGGTGCCTGGCGGAGACCGTAGACTGGCCGTCAGAGGCTCCATAGGGTGCCAGGAGGGAAAGTCCCAGTGAAGCCAGGTGGACGGCGCAGCCAGATCTCCTCGTGCAGGTTACCTTGCAAGAACGCAGTGCTGAAGTCGAGAGAGTGAAGCTCGTAGTCGCGCTGAGCGGCTATGTGCAGCAGCACCCGAAGAGTGGTCATCTTCGGGGTGGGAGAGAAGGTCTGAAAGTAGTCAACTCCCTGCCGCTGACTGAAGCCACGAGCCACGTACCGCGCCTTGAAGACAGGTGGAGAGCCCGGCGGCCGCTTCACCCTGAAGATTCACATGCCACTGACGATGTTCGCCCCAGGAGGGGGAACCGCGTCAACGTAGGTGCCTGTGGACTTCCAGGAAGCCATCTCTGCATCCATAGCTGCCTGCCACTGAGAGGAGTAGGGACCCTCTACGGCCTCTGCGTAAGAGCGCGGAGTCGGGATGTCTAGTGCATCTGGGTCTCCCTCAGGAGCAAGCAGTACAGACGCGAGATGAGGTGAAGCAACAGCCAGACACTGTAACTCCTCCTGCCTGTCCTGTAGGACGTCCGTGCCAGGAGCACACTCACCCCCGACGGACGGAGGACAGACAGACGCAGACTCAGCAACAAGACTAGCAGCGTAGTCTAGACGACAGCGAGCAGCAAAGTCGACGAGCTCAGCGACAAGAGCAGACGCAGCAATGGACTCAAACGAGGGGTCAGTGATGACAGTGGCAAGCAGACGCGTAACAGTAGGACTGGCAGCACGAAGGGAGTCCGACTCAGGGTCGGCAAGCGCAAGAAGAGAGACTCAGGAGGAGAAGGCAAAGGTGCACGCAGAGGAGCAGTGGACGGACGCAGAGACATCCGGTGCGTGCCAGGGACAGGAGGAGGACGCTGACGCGAACCGCGACCACTAGCGCGAGCAGCACGAACAGGCGACGCGGGAGGAGACGCAAGCTCACGACGCTCAGCAAGACCTCCAGTAGGACCAGTGTAAGGAGAGGGAGCAGGTAGAGGGGAGGAAGGCTCCAACAGTGACTGCGACTGGACAGGCTGTGGACACTCTAAAGGAGGAGAAAGACCAAGAACCTGCTGCAAGAGCGGAATGAAGTACGGCTAAGGCCGCGCGGCAGCTCTAGACTCAGCAGGGACGGCACCAGCACCCTCAGCGGCAGCACCAGCGCCACCAACACCTCCAGCGGTAGGACCTCCAGCAGCACCAGCATCAGAACCACCGCGAGGACAGACAGCAGTAGTCTCAGCACCAACACCCTCAGTAGCCCCAGCTCCAGTAGGACCCGCAGGCCCAGTAGCTCCGGGACTGGCGGCACCAGCACCCTCGACGGTCGAAGAAGCTCCAGCTCCAGTAGCACGCCTCCAGCGGCGAGCAAACCACTCGCTCCGCTCCCGCCGAGACGCAGCACCAGGAGAAACCCCAGGCTCAGCAGTCCCAGACGCAGCACCCCAAGGCTCAGCAGCTCCAGGCACAGCACCCCCCGGCTCAGCACTCCCAGGCTCAGCACCCTCCGCAGTAGCACCCCCAGAGTCAGCACCCCCAGGCTCAGCACCCTCCGCAGTAGCACCCCCAGGCTCGGCACCCCCGCGCACAGCACCCCCAGAGTCAGCACCCCCAGGCTCAGCACCCGCAGCAGCACCAGAGTCACCAGTAACCTCGACCGGGTCAACTGCGTCTACCTGGGACACACCTGAGGGGGCAGGAACCTGAGAGGGGGGGGGGGGTCTACCGGGGGGGGAACCGGCACAAGGAAGTCCGGTGGCGGGGGAAGGGAAGGAGTGCGGTAGGGGAAGAGGCGGTAGAAGGGGACTGACTCGTCGAACGTGATGTCCTGGGAGGACAGAACACGACGAGAGGAGGGGTGGTAGAACTGCCACCCTGGAGCGTCAGGGGGGAAGCCAAGGAAGACACAGGGAGCAGCACGAGGGGACAGCTTGTCCGCAGACAAGTCGCGGACAAACGCCCGAGATCCGCAGACACGGAACGCAGACGCATCGCCGACCTTCCCCGTCCACAGTAACACTGGGGACATCGCGGGCCGAGAGACCCTGGGGTGAAGGTTGAGCTGATGCGCCGCGTACCTCACCGCAAACGGCCACAGAAAATGGGGGGCAGCCGCATGCATCATGGACGTACGAGCGACATCCATGACCATGCCAATGCGGCGCTCAGCAATCCCATTTTGCTATGGAGAGTCCGGAAGCGTGAAGGTCTGGCGGATCCCCCGTGCACGACAGTAGTCTCGCAGAAGGCGAGAGGAGAACTCCCCGCCTCTGTCCGAGTGCAGACGCAGAACAGGAAAGTCCGAGCCGAAGCTCCTCCTGAGCTGGAGACGAGCTGCGCGGATCCAGTCGATCAGCACCTTAGTGACAGCACCCTTGCTGCGCAAGGGGAGGACTGGGTGTAACACGAGTAGTCGTCAACCACCAACAGGAAGTAGCGCTCGTGACCCTGCCCACGGACGGGGGCTGGGCCCCACACGTCCATGTGAAGCGTCTGCAGAGGAGCCTCTGTCGGGGGGATTTGGGAGGAGCAGCCCGGAGGCGCCCCTCGACACAGGGGACACAAGAAGGTCCCGGCCCGGAAGGAAGGGGAGGGAAAGACTGGGGAAGACCAGAGACAAGGACACGGGAAGCCATGCTACGAAGACGGGGCAAGGAGGCTTGGCCGAGACGGTGGTGCCACAGGAGGGTCTCGTGAGACAGGAGGCAACACGAACAGGGGGCAGACTCAGGACCTGACCGGGACGCAGCAGCAAACACCTGACCTGACGCAGCTACCTGACCAGACGCAGGGACAGGAGGAGACGTAGTGGTCAGGGTGTAGAGGCTCGACCCCGGCCGACGCGAGAACGTGGCCAGGTGCCGGCCTGTGCGTGCGTCCGTGCACTGGGTCACCCGCTGACTCGCAGGAGTGAACTGGTGAACCCCCGCATCCTGTAGGTCCGCACCACTCACCAAGTTTGTCGAGAACGAGGGAAGGTACAGACCAGACAAGGTGCCCAAGGGGGCAGCCGGACACGGGAGGACAGTGGAGAAGTGAGAGAGGATAGGACCCGCAGAGGGGTCAGCAAGGGAGACCGCAACCGGCCGGCCAAGTGGCGTGAGGGTGGTGCGGTCTCGAAAGAAGGAGCGAGAAGCCCCGGAGTCAAGTGTGAAAGTGAGGGAGGACGAAGGCGACGCAGTACGTGAGAGCGCAGTCTCACCAGCACCTGAGAGTGCAGACGCACTGGCACCTAGAGCAGCAGCCTCACAAGCACCTAGCGCAGCAGTACCAATGCCCGGGTCGGGCGGGAAACACCGGTAACAGTCACCCTCCTCACTAATAATCACAGCATACATAGCACCAAGGATAGCATCAAAATCAAGATCAAAGATCGCTACACCAGCCCTAAGAAGCTCATCCCAGCGAGGGATCTCACTAGCCCCAGGGAACTGCTGACGCCAAGCGTCCGTCAGGCGGCCAAAGCAGCGCTGGGTGGGATGGGCACCCCCACACTGCTCACCCGCGCGGTCGCCAGAGCGAAGGACGTAGGTACAAGGACCAGTACCCCCACCCCTCTGACGTCGAGTGTACCACTCACGGAGCTGCTGGGGCGGAGGGATGTCGCGCGAACGCTGCTGCTGCTGCTGCTGCAAGCGCTGACCACCACCACCGCCGCTCTGCTGCTGGGTACCGCCCCGACCAGCTCCACCTCCTCCGCCACCACCGCCTCCTCCGCCGTCGCCTCCCCCTCCGTCACCGCCACTGCTGCCGCCACCACCACCGCTGCCACCACCACCGCCGCCTCCTCCGCCGCTGCCACCACTACCACCACCACCCCCTCCACCACTCCCGCCGCCACCCCCACTCCCTCCGCCGCCTCCACCGCCACCTCCACCGCCCCCTCCAGCTCCACCCGCGCCCTTGCCCCCCTTGCCCTTGCCAGAGCGGCGTCTCCCACTAGGGGTAGACGCCGCGCCAACCGACTCAAGACCAAGCAGGTCGGCAGCAGCAGCAGAGGCAACAGAGGGCAGGAGGGGGGAAGGAGAGCACCCCTCAAAGATGGGGGTGCGAGGGTCACCACGAGAAGCTCCTACAGCGACGATGCTCTTCTCCGCCGCGAGGAGGGCCTTCTCGAGGATGTCGACGGTGAGGGTGGTGGGACAGACTGCGAGAAAGTGGTCCCTGATTACGCGAAGAGAGTCAGGGAGGCGCGCGACTACGTAGTAGAGAGTGATGTACATGGGGGGGGGGGTTCTTGGCGCAGAACTCAGCAGGAAGGGCAGCGCGGTAGCAAGTGTCACTAGTGCGGAGGTGCGTAATGAGGTCAGCGTTAGTGGGAAAGGCAGAGAGGTCAGGAAAGAGGTAGGGAAGCATGAGACGGCTCAGTGCAGCAGTGGCAGGGGAGGAGTAGCGCGCAACTACAGCGTCGTACAAGGTCTGAGCACTCTTGTACTGACTAAAGTGCGCGCGCTCAGAGGTAGGGAGGTGGCGACGCACAGCAAGACGTGCAGCAGCATCGCGGGTGGCCCACTAAGAGCGCACAGTGGGATCAGCATCAGCACTAGGGGCAGGAGAGGCGCTAGAAGTGAGGTCAAAGAGAGAAAGGCCGTCTACTCTGTCGCACTGTAAGAACAGCTGCAGGTGGTCGACCCAGACCTCAAAGTCAATGGCGCGACCCTCAGCGTCAAAAGCTAGGACACTAGGGGTAGCCATGACAGCAGTAGAAGGTCTCACCAGACAGGACGGGTCGGGCAGCGCAGTAGCACATCAGTACAGCAACACAGCAGCTCAACCGGCTCAGCAGCAACAGCAGCTCCGCAGGACCAGCGGCTCGGCTCCTCAGGCAGTGCAGGTGGCTCGGGCGGCTCTGGCGGCTCGGGCGGCGAGGGCGGCTCGGGCGGCTCGGGCGACTCGGGCGGCTCGGGCGGCGCGGGCGGCTCGGGCGGCTCGGGCATTCAGCGACACAGGGCGGCCCGGGGCCGGGACGGGCGGTGCGCGGGCGATCAGGGGCCGGGACGGGCGGCGCGCGGGCGTCGAGAGACCGGGACGGGCGGCCAGCGGGCGGCTAGGGGCCGGGGCGGCGGCGCGCGGGCGTCGAGGGGCCGGGACGGGCGGCCAGCGGGCGGCTAGAGGCCGGGACGGCGGCGCGCTGGTGTCGAGGGGCCGGGACGGGCGGCCAGCGGGCGGCTAGGGGCCGGGACGTGCGGCCAGCAGGCGGCTAGGGGCCGGGACGGGCGGCGCGCGGGCGTCGAGGGGCCGGGACGGGCGGCGCGCGGGCGATCAGGGGCCGGGACGGGCGGCGCGCGGGCGTCGAGGGGCCGGGACGGGCGGCGCGCGGGCGATCAGGGGCCGGGACAGGCGGCGCGCGGGCGTCGAGAGGCCGGGGCGGGCGGCCAGTGGGCGGCTAGGGGCCGGGACGGCGGCGCGCGGGCGTCGAGGGGCCGGGACGGGCGGCGCGCGGGCGGCTAAGGGCCGGGACGGGCGGCGCGTGGGCGGCTAGGGGCCCGAACGGGCGCGCGCGGGCGGCTAAGGGCCTGAACGGGCGGCGCGTGGGCGGCTAGGGGCCTGAACGGGTGGCGCGTGGGCGGCTAGGGGCCGAGACGGGCGGCGCGTGGGCGGCTAGGGGCCTGAACGGGCGCGTGCAAGTGGCTAGGGGCCGCAGGGCAGGCCGAAAAAAAAAGGTGAAAGCGAAGGGCCAGGAGCGAGCTCCGGGCAAAAAGTTTAAAGGTGGTGGGCCCTAAGCACAGTTCCCACGGGGGAACCTGCTCGATACCATGTTGATAATAGAACGAGAATGGAGTGAGTACAAATAGGAAACCCTAACTGGGTTGTACCCCCTATGGGAAACCCCACTACAGCCTACACAATAGTATAAGCTATATATATATGTTATGACATAGCTGGGACATCCGAATACACTCGTTCGTCGAGAATATCTCCCAGTTACACTAAGAAAATGGTTGCGTGATTACGAGATTTCGTAGACAAAATCTCGTCACATGTAAGGTATTTCTAATGTATTTTAAAGAATTGGCGATTTTGATGCTGATTCTTTGTAAGAAAAATCTGCAGCATGCACTGCTGTGAAATTGCGAAGCTGCTAATTCGTAGTGAAAGTTTCGTGCGGCACTGCCAGATGCTCTCACACGCCACGCCAACCAACAGTTTCTGCCTGCTGCCAGCTCAGCTGCGTGGCACTTGACCCACCTGGCACTCTACGTGACAACAACCAGATCGGGTGAATGATCACATCGCTTGAAACACAAATGCAAAATTGACAAAATCGGCACACAGGCAAGAAAATGGGTACAAAACGGTAATCAGACACACGACGAAACGAAATCTAATCAGCAGAAACAGCCCATGCGCTGCACGTGACAAAACATCCAAGGCGATGCACTAGCACACTGCCTGATGCAAACACGCCGACCCCGACTTGTTCGTACCACACAGTTGAATTGGTATGCTGTAATCAGCTTCAATGCTATTATCAATATGCTTTTACGGTACTGCATCATCATCTTAAAATTTGAGGGTAACTCTGACAGTTCAGACAAAAAAAGTTATGCTTGTCAGAAATTTCAGACTAAAATTTTGAGGCACCTCTGACAGACAGAGTTCCAGGAGGGGTGTACTATGAGGCGTCAGACTACCTCAAAACGAATCTAGGGGCCTGGTAAGAATGATATATTTGTCAAAATAGCAGGTGGGAATGACTGCATTGAATGAGTTGTGGGTACAAGCACTAATCCTAACATTGGGTTGTACCCCATATGGGCTACCCCACTATAACCTACATAGAACTAGCACACATATAGTTTGACACATCCCTATAGGCAAAGGGGGGGAGAACAAGGGGTCACAGGACCGGTCAAGAAAAACAAAGCAAGCTCAGGGTGGATCACAACGTCACCACACATCCCAAGCATAAGCAAAGGGCCATAAGGCCAGTTCACACGCGTAGGTATATATGCAACAACAGTACAGTGATCGCTACATAGCAAGAGTAAACACGCACGTATAAATATATATATAAATATATACATAGATCACAGTACAATACAACAAATGAGAAAACGTAGGCACCAGGCCTAGACCAGTGCAGAAGCGCTGATGATGACCAGCCGGAAGGGCCTTGGTAAACACATCAGCCGTGTTCGCCCGCGTGGGCACGTGAGCGACACAAAGCTGACCAAGGCAGCTGCGCAGCCTTGGTGATCTGCAGGCCAAGGTAGCTGCGCAGCTCACCCAAGTGTGTGCACGTGTGTCTCTTCTGCAGCTCCGACTTCACAAGAACGAGAGCTTCAGTGTCAGCTGTGGCAAAGACCAAGTCGTCGGCGTACACGATGATGTAGAACGGCAGTAACGAAGTGTCGGTGCGCAGAAACAGCGATGGGTCCGCAGTGGCAGGTGCAAACCCAAGAGCCGCAAGTGTCGTCCTCACTGTGTCATGCCAGTCACGAGGCGCCTGAGAGACCCAGTGAAGCCAGGTGGGCGGCGCAGCCAGATCTCCTCGTACAAAATTCCCTATAAGAACGCTGTCTGAAGTCCAGGGAGTGAAGCTCGTAGTCACGCTAAGCGGCAACGTGCAGCAGCACCCGAAGAGTGGTCATCTTTGGGGTGGGGGAGAAGGTCTGGAAGAAGTCAACTCCTTATCACTGACTGAAGCCTCGTGCAATGTAACGAGCCTTGAAGACATGCGGAGAACCCGGCGGCCGCTTCACCTTGAAAATCCACATGCCATCGACTACGTTCGCCCTAGGAGGGGGAACTGCGTCGACGTAAATGCATGTGGACTTCCACGATGCCATCTCTGCGTCCATGGGTGTCTGCCACTGAGAGGAGTACTCACCTGCGATCGCCTCAGCGTAAAAGTGTGAGGTCGAGATGTCTGGAGCATGCGGGTCTCCCTCAGGGGCAAGCAGCATGACCACGAGATGAGGTCCTGCAAGACACTCAAAATCCTCCTGCGTGTCCTCAAGGACTTCCGTGCCAAGAGCACACTCACCCCCAACGGACAGAGGACATACAGACTCAGACTCAGCAACAAGACTAGCAGCCAAGTTGAGACGACAGACAGCAGCAAAGTCATCTAGCTCAGAGACTAAGGCAAAAGCAGCACCCCCAGAACTGGCACCTCCAGCCCCAGGGTCCCCAACTCCAGGGTCGACAGTATCAGCTCCAAGGCCTCCAACTCTAGTGCCTTCAGTAGCAGCACCCCCAGAATCGGCACTTCCAGCTCCAGGGTCTCCAACGCCCAGGTCGACAACACCAGCTCGAGGGCCTCCAGCCCTAGTACCTCCAGCCCCAGTACCTCCAGCAGCAGCACCCCCAGAGCCGACACCTCCAGCTCCAGGAGCAGCACCAGTCTCGGCAGCTCCAGTACTTCCAGTACGAGCACCTCCAAGACCAAAGACACAAGCACTCCCAGCGCCTCCACGGCAAGCAACTCCGGCAGCACGGCTCCTCACGCGGGTACGCGACGCAAGCCACTCTCGTGCCTGCTGTTGTGAGATAGGCCCGCGTTGTGAAACGAGACCCAGAGGAACGCCAACAGACTCTGCACCCCCCGACCCGGCACCCTCCGGCACAGCACCCCCAGGCTCCGCACCCCCTAGCACCTCACGGATGGGCTCAGCACCCGCAGGATCCGCAGCCGCAGGCTCACCAGCCCGAGGCTCTGCACTCCCCAGCACCGCATGCGCAGGCTCAGCGCCCCCAGACGCAACACCCCCATCAGCACCTCCCGCAACGGCACCTGAGTCGCTAGTGACCTCTACAGGCTCAGCCAAGTAGGGCGGGTCTACTTGAGACACACCTAAGGGAGCAGGACCCTGAGGGGGGAGGGGGTCTACTAGAGGGGGACCTGGAGCGAGGAAAAGCGGCGGGGGAGGGAGAGGGGCAATGCGGTAGGGGAAGACATGGCGCGAGGTGGGGTGGTAAAACTGCCAGCCAGGCGCGTCAGGGACAAAGCCAAGGAAGACAAACGGAATGGTGCGGGAGGAGAGCTTGTCCGCGGACGTATCGTGGACAAGGACACAAGCACCCAAGACTCGGAAACGCGACGCATCGCCAACCTCCCCCGTTTAGCGCAGTGTGGGCGAGGTCTCCGGCAAGGAGACACGGGGCCAGAGGTTGAGATGCTGTGCGGCGTACCGGACCGCAAACGGCTACATAAAATGGGGAGCCTCCGCATGAATCAAGGAGGTACGAGCGACTTCCATGACCAAGCCAATCCGGC